CCTTTAAACACTGATCTCAGGGATGGAAGGACGTACCGTTGTGGTTGGGAAGCAGTACAGTACAATGCCAATATCATACCGATACAGCTTTGTGAGGTTTTTGTGATTTGTGTGTGTGCATGTACATGAGCAAGTCTTAATTTTTAGACATGGGCGATTATGGAACAGTTCGTGCTTAATGCAGGGCGTTTGTAGGGGAGGCCTTTACAAATGAGTGATTCTTTTCTGCTATCCTAGAAATATTTTAGATAATTCTCTTGAGTGTGTTTTTCTGTTACCACATACTTATAAAAGTTAACATCTTTTTAAAAATTTAAGATTTTATTTATTTATTTTTAGGGAGAGGAGAAGGAAGGGAGAAAGTGAGGGAGAAAAACATTAAGCTGCTCACAACTCAGGCACGTGCCTTGACTGGGGATTGAACTGGCCACGTTTTGCTTTGTGGGACAACATAGCCAACTGAGCTACACCAGTCAGGGTATAAAAATTAACTTTTTTTCTACTTTAAAATAAATAAGTAAATAAATAAATAATATTTTTAATTGTTTATTCTATTATAGTCCCATTTTTTTCCTTTTTGCTCTGCTCCACCCAGCCCACCTCTCTTGCCCATGAAAAGCTAACATTTTTAATGCGATCTGAATACCACTTTGAGGTGGTGCCCCAGGATGTGAAAAAGTGAGAAGAATATTCAACAGAGATGCTAATTTTAAATGTAGCAACCTCAGAGGTGACTTAGGAGGTCAGATGAAAATAACCTCTAATGCAAGTCAGTTCTTTACCAAATAACTGATCCCCCCTCCCTTTTATGGGGAGGAAGTTCTGTAGACAAATAGTTTTGTATGACTGTCTTTGATGACTGTGACCACCTGTTGCTGCCTACCTCTGAAATAGTTTGGTTTGGCATACCCTATTTTTTTTACCTGTTTTGTTCTAAATAGAAAAGCATTTGATTCCATATCTAGAAGGATTCTTGTGTCCCAAAGAAACCCGTAAACATAACCACGCATATTAGGTGTGGGTTTTGCAGTGTTGCTGCCAGTGTGAGCTCTGTGTGAGTTCTGTGTGATTCACCCGCAGTGTAAGGCGAAATGCTTGTGGCCACACGAGTATAGTGCCTTGAGCAATGGAAGATGTTTGTTTGCACAATCAGTATTGTCCTCCTCGAGGCAAGAGACCCTCAGCTGCTAGCACAGAGGAACCCAGAAAACTTGGGGCTTGAAACTCACCAAAAATCCAAGTTTTCTGAATTATTTGTTCTGTGCAAAAATCTCTCCTTCATGAAGACAGTACTGACCAGTTACAGACATAAAAATGAGTCGTTGACAGCCACATTAGGGAGGAAGTAGAAGCTGGTAGAACTCCGTCCTGACATTTAGTTCCCCCGCAGAGGCTGCGGCTCCCGGAGGTAAGATCCTGGTTTCCCGTGGTCTTTCTTCCGTTTGGCCCTGTTAAAATCCAGGAAACAATTGCAGTCTTTTTATGTCTTTGACAGGACGACTCTGCATTTTATAGTATTTAATGTGTAAGGCATAAGACATCATGAAGTTTGGACGAGGCTGCAGAGCTTCATCTGACAGGTGTCCCCCTCCCCCGTCCAAAGAAAAATATAACAAGAGTGGTAGATATTTTTAAAACAGCCTTGACCTCTGCAGTTAGTCTTCCTTTGTTACAGAGAAATTAATTTGCTTTGCTAATTATAGCTGTATCTATGTTTTATTCCCTTTTCTGCTCCTGCTTTTTTTTTTTCCCCCAAAAGATCTTAGGAACTCTACCCACTTGGATTTATTGATTTTATAAATATACCATAGTTGTTAAACAAGTTGCGTGATTTTCTTTGCTAAGAAAAATTTCATCTTCTTGCTAAGTGATTTACTGCTTTGAAATTACGTTAATTTGCCCTGAGTGGTGTTGCTCAGTGGGTTAGCCATTTCCTGCAAACCAGAAGGTCACTGGTTCCATTCCTGGTCAGGCCACATACCTGGGTTGCAGGCCAGGTCCCCTGGTTGGGGGTGTGGTGTGAGAGGCAACGAAGCAGGGATGTTTCTCTCACACATCACATATCAATGTTTCTCTCCCTCTCTTCCCCCCTCTCTAAAGTAAATAAATAAGATCTCTTTAAAAATTACATTAACTCATTGACTTACAAACATATCTAGCAGCCCTTACTCTATAGGCCCTATTCCAGGCACAGGGAAATGTGAACAAGGCAGGCAGAACCCACCTCAGGGAGCACACAATCTAGCAGCGTTGCTTTCTCAGTAACATGTTGTGGGTGGCGTTTGGTCGTTTTTAAATGCCAGATTCCTTTTGAAGGAATGCTTATTTGTCTTGGGGCCTTGGCTCCTTATTTGTTGAGTTGGAGAAGTTGGACCAGCTGATCTCTAAGGCTCTTTTCCATTCTGAACTTGCATATTTTGGAAGTTGGAACCTGGTTTGCCATTAGAGCCTTAGGCAGCTCCACCCACCCCGTCAATCAGTATAGTACATAAAGTTTTATAAGAGATATTTGGCCAGGGTAGTGACACAGGGAGGTAATGAAGAGTAGAGAATGCGGCAGGACACTCAGATGAGTGCAGGACGGAGTCTGAGGGCCGTTTAAGAAGACATCGCTGACCATAACGCAAACAGTTTCAATAGAATGGTAGACTAGACTTGGATCCCGTCGGGGTAAGGATTGAATAAGTGCAGGCGTTGACTGTTCCATGGAGACCCTTTCGTGTTAAAATGGGAAGATGTTGCCGCTCAGCCGCTGAGACTACGAAGGAAAGCAGTGAAGACTGACTTTCCCGTGCGCATGCGCGCTGGCTTCTGGGTCCGAGCCTCTCCCTGTTCTGAGTCGTTGCTGTGGGAGATCGACCTCGCACCTGTGTGGGGGTTAACCACGTGATGAAGGACCGGGCACTGTGTGACACAGTTGGAACAGACAATCCTCACAGCCGCTGAAACAGTTGATACTGCTTATCTCCCGCTTCTGAAAAAGATTTCTTTCCCGCAAAATAGAAAAAAAGTGCCAAATTTTTGTAAAGAGTAAGTTGATAGCCTTGAATGCATCCTTCAAGAAACGGGAATTTGGCTAATTTTGGAGGAGATATTAATGGTGCTCTAGCTAAATGGGCAGAATAGTGAGTAAACCGGATAAACTGCTTAAACTGGATGTCCCAGTCCTTAGACTCTTTAAAACCTCAGACTTGAATGAAGTCTACTGCATTTTAGGGTTTCCGACTACTACCTGTTGTATTCTTTTGTGGAGCAAACAACCAAACGGTACAGAGCAGAGGCTTTTAACCCAAGATGTCTGGTTGGTTTTAAAGGATGTAGGTGACTGGCAAGTCAGTTTGCCAGATTTTGATGGATAGAAACCCTAAGAAAATACGTAAAATTTCTGTTGGCCCCAGATGGATGGATTTTGCCTTAGATCACATCCTATTCATTACTTACATCTCGATAGATAGATAGATAGATAGATATAGAAATTCATGTCGTATTCCTAATATCCCTCTTGCTGCCTGCAGAAATGTGTATATTTACTTTCAGGGTTTTTCTTTCCTACCTATGTGCTCCACAGTCAGAAAATAAAACTAATCCAAGAAATCTTGAGTCTTTCTTCAAGACAGTAAATGAACTCGGTGTTGTGTTGTTGCCTCAGTTAACCGAGCAGCCAGTAACAGCTGCAAGAAAGCAGTAATTAAGTTTAAAGGAAGAAGATCTGTTTCACAAAGACTTTTTCCGCTTCAGAATACACGTCTGCTTCAGCTGAGGCATTGTTTTCCACACTTTTACAGTGGGTCACTGGAGATATACCCCCGGTGTAATTTCCCCGTCTCTTGTGGAATATACTCTGTGATTTTTAGACTTTGTTTGCAAACAAGTGTATTCTCTATTTAATCATTAGGCTCAAAAAAAATCTCAAATTTGTTATAGTTAGTTGGCAGAATGTTAAGATAAGCTATGTAATCCGTTTCTGGTATGGCCAGTTTAGCAACTGCGTTTGAAAATCTGTTTCACTGCCTGTTTTTTCTTATAACATTGTTTCCTGCTGTTATAACCAAGCTGTCCTCCTTGCAGTTGGACTTAATTTTTCATCTGACACCTTAGACTGACTGTTCCAAGGAACGTTTTCTGTACAACGTTTATGTAGCTATTATGCCTTATCACTGCTCCTCCTTGTCATACACCCTGTCCCACCCGCAGTCGGCTCTGCGAGAACAGTGGTTTTGTCACGGTGCTTACTTTGTGATTGAATGAAATGGGGTAAACAGAGATAACGAATGAACCCGCAGCACAACGAGTCGGCAGGCACCCGTGTGGTTTGCTTGGCCGGAGCCCTCCCTTGCCGCACCGCGGAAGAATCCTGCTCTTCGCACTTCCTGACGGTCACAGGAGGAATTGGAGGACGCCAGGCAAAAGAAACATTGTTTTTACCCCCAAAATAGCCTATATAATGTCAGAAAGGGCTTTGATGAAACCACTGGCCCTACTTTACAGATCTTATTTTCCAAGCCTTTCATTATATTATTTGCCCTTTTCTGAACTCTACAATTTCCCTCTCTTGTAGCTGGTTCGATGCCCAGAACTGAACGCTGTGCTCCAGCTGTGGCCTCACCGGTGCTGAATAGAGAGGAAGAGCCACCTTCATAGCTTACATGTGATTCCTCTGCTTACACAACCCAATGCTGGATGTACTTACTTGGGCAAGATAGCTGCATCGTGCACTGTATTCGATGTTACGTGTGCTGTGACCCTGGGTCTTTCTCTGCATCGCTGACGTCCAACCCCGTCCTGCCCCTCTCCAGTTCCCACCTCTGTTCACCCGTCCCCCCCTCCCCACCCCCGTAGACTCCCCTCACACTCATCCACAGTGAATGTCATCTTTATTCTCTCATTTCTCTTCACTCTAATCTGGCTCTTTGGCAAACTTTCCCCCTGTCTCTACATTGTCAGTTGTCAGCCCTCTTACTCCCCCCGCTTTGGTAATGGGGCACCCTTCAGGTCTTCTCGCGGACCCTTTTCCCGTTGTCGCTGGTGGGCGTCTGGTACGTTGGGTGTAGTCGGCATTCTCCTGGCACTTCTTCCCAATCGGATGCCCGTGAACTCCTGATTTGACTGCCTGATCAAGTCGTTACCGACACTTGAGTTCCTCTGTCCAGATTTTCTTGACTCCCCCGACCTCTGTCCCGGCAACCTCTGTCCCAGCAACCTCATCCCAGGTGCAGCCTTTCCCCCAGCTCTTCCCCTGGGCAGAGACAGCCCCCTTGTTTCACCGTGGGAACTTCTAACAACAAGGGAAGTGTCCTTAGTTGTGAATAGAATAGTCTTTAATAATTTTAAGCAAATTCTCTCTCCCCCCTTTTTTTAAATGCTAGAGCTTGAAGTACTGTATGTTTCTAAGGTGAGTCAGGTAAAGGAAGAAGGAAGGGAGTGAGGCTTTTGTGCTGAGCAGGAAATAGGACGTGGTTCTCCAGGAAAAGCGACACTGAGGCCCCTGTGGGGCGTGGTGCAGCTGTCTGCAGCAGGACGTGAGACTCGTTTTTCCTGGGTTCTGGAGCCTTCTTGAATTCCGAGTTAGAGTGGATTTTTAAGTTGGTTTATTTAGGACTGTTGACACAGACGCACAGTTGCTGACGTGTATGCTTCGGTGAATCATTCCTCGGGTGGAAGGTGTGACTTGTCTGATGATGAGAATTGGAAGGTCTAAGTATGTCCTTTTTATCCATTCCTGAAACCCCTCAGGGTCAGCTGAATCCCAGTGTTTCTTATAGTAGCGGTCAAGCGGATGTCCAGGTTCTTTCTTCTTTTCCTCCCTTAGGGGATGTGTCCTGTGGGAGCAGCCTCTCCTTGGCTCTGTAGTCTTTACTGAACCCCGAAGTTACCTCCCGTGTATTCGTGTTCCAAGAGCATTAACATCGGTTTGGCAATCTTTCTAACACCACTTCAGTGCATCCAGTTTTGTCGTAATGATTTAGGGTTACCAAACATTTTTCCCTCAGACCTGTGCTACACGTTGTACACATCAGCATGTTAACTGTCCAAGTGCATTACCAAGCACACTACAAAATGATAATGTAATATATATCATTTGACTCTTCTTATCTAAAGCTATTCGATATTCCCATTTTCTTACTCACAATTACATAAGCCAAGTGAAAACTGAAACTCGGTTTGGTGGTTTCAGAGAAGGGAATCCTTTCCGGTGGTTTCCCACTGCGATGTCAGAGGTCTGTGGCTTTGTTTATGTCTGCTCAAGTCCCGATAAGGGGAGGCACCTTTCTTCAAGGGGCCAGGAGTCGCATTTCCTGCCTTTGGGTTGACGTGACCCCCGGTGACAGAGCCGACTGGGCCCTTTGCTGCTGGAGGCCTCTCTCCGGGCCGCTGTCAGCGGTGGCTCGGCTTCCATCTCCATGTATGGCCTCGGGAGGGCGGAAGGGACACAGCTGGGCCTCTCCATTTACGGTCCCCGGAGGAGTCGAAAAGAGTGGTTGGGGTGTTCTTGGAGGCAGCAAGTAGACATGGTGAGATAAAAATAAATGGGCAGATGTTTGCAATTCCAATTCCAGTCTCTGCCGGGAGGGCAGAGGGTGCCGGGATGGGGGGTGTGCAGCGAGCCTGCTGAGCTCCACTCCAGGCCTCTGCCTCCCTCCATCGAAGGCTGCCCACGACACATTCCCCAAGTTCATTTGTTCTAGAAAGTCTTGTGTTGCGTACTTGTGACTCTCCTTTACAAAGACAAGGAAGGAGCCCCTTTCAAGAGTGTACTTTCAGAAACCCCAGTTCCTCAAGGCGTCCCTGGAGGCACCAGAAGAGAGCTGGAGAGGGAGAATGGCGAGGGCGCTTCTGCAGGGGGAGGCCGGCTGAGCCCGGGTTCAGGGGACACCAGTCACTGCTCTGTTGTTATCGGAGAACACTGTCATCGCCTGTGTCCCGCTCTTATTGTTCCCTTTGCCCATGTAGATTTCTGGCATCGAGGGAAGTGTTGTATAGTGTCTTGTCGTTTGTCAGCTGTGATGTAAAGATGCTGAAATTTCACGGAGGTTCTGTAAAGGACTCTTGAGTCAGTGCGGGGAGAGCAGGTGACATTCTGGCTTACATCATAGAAAGTAATCCTGTGTCTAGGAGGAATGTCGGGTCTGGCTAGGCGTCTGCGGGAAGCCAGAGGTGAAGTGGTCTTGTGCAGGTGTGGCAGGGAGTGTTGGCAGCCCCCAGAGGAAAAGGGCCTTCTTGTCCGGGGAAGTTCTCAGAGTGAAACCCAGGGAAGCAGAAGGGACAACGGGAGGCACAGGTGGGACAAGGAGGGACTGCAACTGAACTACTTTTGTAAGCAGGAAATAAGTCCTTGATTTGTCTTTTGCAGAATCATGTAAGATAGTGTAAGATGAATTATTAAAGCAAGGACACTGGGCCAATAATAAGAAACATGGCTTAGAAGACCACGAAGACAATCGAAGGCTGTGTGTGGACTTGCATAATGATATTCATTGGCTGTGCACTACAAGGTAGAAAAACAAGTAAAATAACACCCCCCACACCTGACTTTCGTCCCCCAGAAGGAATGATCAGCCTCGTTTGTTGGTTTGTTTAGCCGGCAGCGTTATTTATTTATTTATTTTTTAGATGTAGGCATTGGTGTATTGTTTCTCACTGATCCCTGAGACTCGGAGTCTGCAGCATCATTTACTTGACTTCTTTGAAATTTTAGCAGCTTCCCAAAGGCAGAGGGAGTTAGTAAGGAGTATGGACTGTGTGAGAAATGTGTTTTACTGGTGGTTTTGTGCAGGCGTTTGTTGTCACCCTGTATTCTTTCTCAATGAAGAGTAAGGAAGGGCTTCCTCTTTGCTTTGGGAAATTCTTCTTTCTGTCCTCCCTCCCTCACTTTCCCCCGAACTCCGGCACAGTAGCAGCTCTCTCTCTTCTGTGGCAGGCGTGCATCCTATTGGCTGGCTGGTATTTCTTGTTTTCTTTTTTTTTTCCCCCCTTATTCTTTTTAAGTGGGGGAGGGGTATAAAATATGTGTATGGGGTACATGCAATAATGTTGTTTTGGTTATTGTTTAATGGATTATTAATTGTAAAATAATGTTTTTGAATTATAACATGTTTGAGTAAATGCTAAATTAGTATTTTTTTCTAATATAATAATGAATTTGAAATCTAGCATTCCTGTAACAATGTGTCTGTGTTTGTCTGTCTGTGTCTGTCTAATAGTAATTAATATCTGTGGTCCGTACCTGGAAGAGGAAGTACAGCTTTAAAGGAATAACAAAAGACTTTGTGTCTTAGACCCTTCGCAGGTGTTACAGTCGGGTGAAAGAACATGGTGTTGGGAAAAGAAAGAGCAGTTACACATTTGAACAGTTGGAACAGGTGTTTGGTCAGGGAGGATGGGATGCTCAGCCCTGCCAGCCTGTACTTATTAACAGTAGTGGCTTGTACCAGGAGCTGGAGTCAGATGGCAGCACTATGGAGGAGTATTCACAGGAGGACTGGGGAAACCACAGTCAGGATCTCCATGGCTACCCAACAGAGCAGGAATTGGGTAAGGAAGCGACACGTCTGCTACTCGTGTATGTGTGTGTGTGTGTGTCTGTCTGTCTTTCTGTGTGCACCGGGACTGGTACCGCTCCCACAGTCAGCACGAGGCATATAGCCAGTTTATTTGGGGTGACCTTGGTTCAGGTTCACACTGCCTGCTAGTGCATGGCGTTGGTCACGTCGTGGTTTGGGCACCAGCAAACCTAACCGCACAGAGTCGCTTCCTCATCCTGAGCTCCCCAGGCGGTTCGGGTTGGACTCCGGTGCAGTTTTGCCTGTCCACCCCTCTCAGTTCTGTAGCGGCGGCTGCAGCAGCCACCGCACCGACTCCCGGCTCAGCGGCTGTGGATGTAACCGCCTTCCCCTTCCTTTATCCCAGATTCTTTTTCCTTGCTGTTTGTGATTTGGAAACGGTCCCCTTCCAGACTCCAGTCTGAACAAATGTGAGGGGAAGTCTGGGTTGTCTTTTAAAGGGCCCATGCTGGAGCTTCCTCAGCAGCCGTATTGCTTCAGACTTCATAGAGCATCCCCTCCCAACAATAGCCGGAATGATGCATCCACAGTCTTAACATTCCAGGTGGAAAATACAGCCCCCAGCCATCAAGTCTGTGAGCTCGTGGGGCCTAATGACGAGAGTATATAGACGTTGCTTTCTGTAGTGAATGCTCCGGTTTTGATTTTCCTGAATTGGAAATACCAGTCGAGTGGCTGCCGCCACCACTGCACCTCCACAGCAAGCGGTGTGGTGGGGGCTCACTCGCCAAGGTGTGGCTGCTCCGCCCCGAGGCTCCTGGGCAGCTCCCAGAAAGTGGGCAGGGCTGGCACTAGTGGTGTGTTTCCCCAGCTCAGGGTGACACAGAGATGCTAATCGGACAGGAACAGGATTTTCGTTTTTGTTTTTTAATTTCTCAAATATTGGAAGAGAGGGGAGAGAAGAAAGGGGCTATAAAAACTGTAAGAACAACACAATTTGAGAGAGAGACTTAAAGACTAGAAGGATAAAAAGGGCCAGTCACTGCTTCTTAATTTCACAACAGTGGTGAGGTCCAGATTGCTGCAACACCCAGCACTCTGGTGGCCGGGGAGGTTCAGTCTCCCAAATCTTTGGGCAAAAATAACATGCAGAACATGTTGATGCTGATACTGGGGAAATAATTGCTCTGTAAAACCTATACAGGAAGTCTGAATTGTGCAGAATTATTTTCATTCTTGTTCCTTTAGAAATCATGTTTGCGGTGAAATTAAGCTTTAAGCTCCTAGCTAGAAATCTGCTGGTGACCTTGAAGAATTTTATACTCGTAGAGCTGGTTTCTGATCTTGCATATAAATGTATGCATCTCATTATATAAGAGTTATATTTATAAATCTGGCATTGGGCAGTGTTTGAAACTGGAATTAAGTCCTCAAATTAGAAAGTAGATTGAATAGCAAACACATAGCTACTTAACTACATAAGTGTATGCCACCTCTGAGGAAAATATAATGTTTCCAAATCTTTGCTTTTCAGATGAAATACCTGTCACAAAGAGAACGTTAAAAATAAAACAAGAGTCTTCTGAAGAAGCACAGTAAGTAGAGGCTGCCCCTTACAAAAAACGCATGTATCTGAGTTTAGTGGGAGGGCCCCCTGAGCCATTTCACTGAGGAAGGGTATCCAGTCATTCCCCTCGTTCTCTGAGCTTCAGTTTTCCAGCGGTTGATCCCACATGCAGGGGATTTTGTATGCCGTCAGGAGAAATGAATGTGTTCCGTGAAAGCAAGCCTGTCTGCGGTGCTTGCCCGTGTGGGTGTGGATGCCTGGATGTGTAAGCAACACGGACGGATGGGTCACGGGACCGCGAGGTGACCTGGTGTGAGAGGGGGGCTAGCCGGGCACTTACATTTCTTGTAATACCACATTTTGAGAATCCAGAAGCAAGCTCTTAGGTGACCTTAGTGTACATTTGGAAAGGAAAGCAGCATTCTGCTCATTCATTCAACGCACATATCAAGTACCTACTGTATGTCAGGCACTGGGGTACATCGGCCGGCAGACAAATCTCAGCAGATCTCTGCCTTTGGCCTGGCTCCTTAGTCTCATCTGCCTGGAGATCAGGAAAATAGGTTTGTTTTTTTTTTTAAAGCATTGACCCATGCAGAAATGTCCTATATCTTTTTTTTAAATTTTTTCCTTTTATTGATTCTAGAGAGAGAGGAAGGGAGGGAGAGAAACATCAATCAGTTGCCTCCTGCACATGCCCTGACTGGGAATTAAACTTATAACCTTTCAGTTTGCAGGACGATGCCTCACAAACTGAGCCACACTGGCCAGGGTGCATGGTCCTCTCTCTTAATCTCACAAGCAGCACAGTATAAATATTAGAAAAGTGATCAAGTGCCTTTGTGTCCTCTGAGAAGAGGGACAAGTCCCCAGGGACACCATGTTTCATCTCGATGGCCACTTCGACACTTGAGAAGCTCTCAAGACAAACTGAAGGGTGGGGGATAAATCCGGGGCAGTGTTGGCCCCAGGAAGCTGCTGAGAGCAAAATTTGTCATCTCCTTATCATCTTGCAAAGCAAGTCAAGGAGGCCAGACAGAGAATGACTGCGTGGGATATTCCCCAGTTTGTTCCAGAAGCTTTCCCCTAGGTTGCAGAACTGAATAGAAAGTTTCCAGGGTCCACTTCCTTCCAAGCAGCTTTAGTAAACCAGCACACACACCCTCGTTCTTGCTTGTGTTTGATCGTATGTGAGTGGTAGTTGAGTATTTTTAAAGCTAAAGTCTATGATTGATGTAGAGGGTAATAGTTTGTTGCTAAGCTCATATTTAACAAACTTCAGTCTTATAATATCAAAGTTTTGCCATGTTTGAGAATAAACTTGTAATTGTATATGTATATTTATGTGTGTGTATGTGTCTATGTATATATATATTTTGTGTGTGTATATATATTTCGTGTGTATATATACACAGACACACACACACGGATCCAGCATGTACAAAAAGAATTTCCTGCATTTTCTGTCTTAAACTTGTTAACTGTCCAAATCAAACTCAAAATTTCTTTTCTTTCCCTCTTTAAAATATTTTCTAGAACAATCTCAATTCATTTTCTTGAATTTTTATCTCAAAAGCCAAACCTAACATGAATCTTTTTCTTCTTTTTTTATTTAAAGATTTATTTATTTATATATATATTTTTAGAGAGGGAAGGGAGGGAGAAAGAGAGAGAGCGAGAAACATCAATGTGCGGTTGCGGGGGGCTGTGGCCTGCAACCCAGGCATGTGCCTTGGCTGGGAATCGAACCTGCGACACTTTGGTTCGCAGCCTGCGCTCAATCCACTGAGCTATGCCAGCCAGGGCTAATCTTTTTCTTCTTAATTCTCAAATCCTAATTCTGTTTTGTACTAACAGTTCTTTTAAATTTGAGAGTAATAATGAATTTCAGACAAATAGAAGAAAATGTCGTTTTCTTTTTGCCTCAGGCCATTACTCATAATCGGTTGTCTATTTTTGTGCAGTAACCATGTATGGGCCAAAATTGTTGAACTTTCAGAATTTCCAGCTTAGAAATTAAGATGTTCATTATTTTCCGTGATACTGGATGCCTTTCTGAATACAGCATTCTTCACTTGCCTTTAGTAGTTGGGTCTGGAGGCCATGGGGAGCATCGTAATAGCCCCTTGAAATGCATGGCCCTTGGGTTTCCGAAGTCCTAGGGCCTTGGGTATCAACAGTTGCTCAGGTCCATACAGCCAGCCTACATAAGTAATGGAGAACAGTTTGTCGTTCGTTCCTAGAAATGTCCTAGTGAAGAGTGTTTCTCAGCTTTTAACACTGTGCTTTTCTAGACCTGCCCTGTCCATTGTGGAGGCTCCTGACCACACGTGTTTATTTAACCATAGTTTCAAATTGTAACTAAAACGACCTCACTCACCCTAGCCATGTTTTAGTCGCCAGTGGCTGCCATGTTGGACAGCACAGGTGCAGAATATCTCCATCATGGAGGAACATTCTGCTGGAGAGTGCTGACCTGGACACCTGAGGAATTTCATATTTATTTCTCTTTCTAGGAAGAGAGACATCATGCAGAATATTGTCCAGATTTTGGAATCAGTGCAGTTGAAATGGGAACTGTTTCAGAGCTGGACAGACTTCTCAAGGCTTCATCTTTCTAACAAACTGGCCATTTTTGGGATTGGTTACAACACCCGTTGGAAAGAGGATATCCGCTACCATTACGCCGAGATCAGCTCCCAGGTGCCACTCGGCAAACGGCTCCGCGAGTACTTCAACTCCGAGAAGCCCGAGGGGCGGATCATTATGACCCGAGTGCAGAAGATGAACTGGAAAAACGTTTACTACAAGTTTTTAGAGATCACAATTAGTGAAGCGAGGTGTCTGGAGCTGCACATGGAAATTGACTGGATACCCATTGCCCACTCCAAACCAACCGGTGGGAACGTTGTTCAGTATTTATTACCGGGAGGCATTCCCAAAAGCCCGGGCCTCTATGCCATTGGCTATGAAGAATGTATGGAAAGGCCCTCCTCACCCCACATGGAGCAGAGTTCCCTGGACCCGGGAAAGGAGGGCAGGGTTGACTTGGAGACCCTTTCGGCACAAGCCTCGTTGCAGGTGGAAACAGAACCCACCCGAATCGTCTACTGCTACCTCGGGATCGCTGAGGTCAGGACTCTGCAGCAATGCTTATTTCTACATTTCCAAGCCAATACCAAAACCTTCAGCAAAGATTGGGTTGGTATTAATGGGTTTCTGTCTCAGAACTGCATTGTGGATCCTGGCGTCTCCCCCAAATCTATCTACATCAAGTTTGTGGAAGTAGAGAGGGATTTTCTTTCCGCTGGCTCTTTAGTTGAGTGCCTGGAAAAAGCCATCGGGTATCCCTTAAAATTTAACAACTGAATGTCATCCTTCATAAGGATTTGGGCTCTTACCTCTCTCCTCTCACTTCCCCTTGCCCGACTGCCCCGCCCAGATGCTGCCGTCAGACTCTCCATGGAAACGCGTTCCACCACTGGGCCAGCACACCTCCTAAGGAATCACAGTGGACTCTGAGCAAACAAAACAGACCTCACCTGAACATGCTCGTTTTGAGCAAATGGGATTTACAGCGAACTTGCATGGTGGGTCAGCTGTTTCTTTTTTAAAAACAAAAAATTTTAAATGGATGTTAGAGCCCTAATATAAACAAATGTAGGTACATTCCATATTGGACAAAACTTATACTTTCAGTTTCATATGAAATTGAAAAATTGTATTTTTTTCACAATGTTTCATTTTTACACATCTCTATGTCTCTATATAAGTATTATTTACAACCCTGAATAAATAAGCAATAGATAATGGCAAGTTAAATCTTGAGTCACAGTAAATAAGACTGTTTTTCAATATCACCTTTAGCTACTATTGTATATAATTTAGAGTTTCATTTTTTTCACCAGCCAAGTGTTTTGCTATTCCCAATCAGTGTTGCCTGCAACGTTTCTGTGATGTACCCCCTTTACGGTTGTGTTGCCGTTTAAACATTTTTTTAAAAAATTAAAGTTATTCCTGGCCTCTTGGCGTACTAGTTGGGCTCTTTGTAGCAGAGCGTGGCCACGCGGACGGCGGGCACTGCGCCACGACCTCCTGCTGAGGACGCGCAGGACCGTCGGAGCAGGTGTCTTCCGCTTCCCCGCGCTCATCCCGCTGACCAGTGTCGTCCCTTGTCAGAGCGTCCTAAAGGTCACTGGACATTTCACGTTTCTTTGTTATGTATTTTAAAAAAAGATTTTATTATTTATATTTAGAGAGAGGGGAAGGGAGGGAGAGATGGAGAGAAACATCAATGTGCGGTTGCCTCTCCTGTGCCCCCTAAGGGGGACCTGGCGTGCACCCCAGGCATGTGCCCTGACTGGGAATCGAACCGGCAACCTTTTGGTTCATAGACTGGCACTCAGTCCACTGAACTATACCAGCCAGAGCTCAGGTGCTCTACTATAAGTGGACTGCAGATGCAGGTAAGAGCTATAATTCACCCTGTTTTTCTATACTATTGAAGATAAAATTGCATATTGATAAAAATATTAGTTCCCACTACCAGTGATTTTCTCAGTCTGATATGTCTCATTTAGTTGATGCTTATTTTTCTAAGGGCTAGAGAGCTTATAATCAATAGGATTTTAAAATATCATCTGAGTCTAGGTTTATGTAATTAGCTGGGTTCTGATTCAACTCCTGAAAGTGGTGCTAGTTCAGAGACAGCATAAATATTCCGGGATGTTTTGAGTGTGGCACCTCTTCTCCCTGGGCACAGTCTGCAGGTAGCGGGCCTTCGGACATTCTCGTGAGCGTGCCCTTCTCCGAAACTTGAAGTCACAGTCCGACAGGCTGAGGCTCCACTGACCATCTCGTAGCAATAATCTCACAGTACTCAGTGCTGAGTGTTGCAGGAAAAAGCACTATTACCAGTACTACAGGCTTCCCTAAAACTCTGCCACTTACCAGCCCCCAAACTAACGTTACCCTCCATGCATCTTTTTCTGAACCCGCCTCCGTGGCTATTAAGTACTTAGCTTGAACAGAGCAGTTTATGAACATTGCTTGAGACATTTTAGATCTACCTCTCTTTACTGAGAATGTGGACTGCCAGGGCACTGGGAGCAGCTTGGGGAAGATGGCAAGGCTGGTCCAGTCCATGATTTCACTATCAGGCTTTGGATGGGTGAGGGACAGGGGAAAGAGGGCAGGGCTGAGCACTGGGAAATGGAAACTTTGAAAGAAAGTAGCTTTGGTACTAAATATCCAGTCTCTGGCCAGAACATTCTAGAAAAGAGGACATCAGGGTGTCAGATAACTACATGAACATGGCTTAAAACAAAAAATGGGCTATTTAAACCTTAATGAAACCTTAGAACAGACTCAAGGGGGATGGAGGCACTCCAGTCGAACATACGGATGAGCGTAAGAAAATGCTCTAGAGGTCTGAGGTGTGACTGGAAGAAACGCCAGTGGCTGGCGAGTCACTGAGCATATGGCACCGTGAACTGAGCTCTGGCACACAATGTGGTGATGCCAGGGGTCCCCTGGTCATTCACAGGTCGGCCATCTGTGCCAATGTTCTCACCTAACACAAGGGAGCAATGTTCACCCTAAAATGCATCTCAGCAAAAATGTAAAGCAATGGAGCTGCTCCGCTCACTTCTACCACTTGACTACCAGAAGGGGAAAGGGTTGGAAGAGGAGGTAGTGTGGAAATTCTGTGATGGGTGAGGGCAGTGAGCCAGGCCCAAAGAGACTGACACTGTGTCCCATGGAAACAGTCGCTGCCTGCAAGTCTCGGGTCGCAGCTTTCCTTCCAATGTTGCAAATTATCCAGGATCCGAATTCTGAAGGAAAAGTTAGCTACATGAGTGAGTGTTGAGACTATACCTAGCACTTAGCAGCGGTGAGCGCAGTCTGTACAATCAGATGCTTCGGGATTTCTGGGATATGCAACCAAGCGACTTTGAACCACATTTCTGGAGTTTCTTATTTGGGACTTAACCCTGGTCTGGACAGAAAGGAGGGCTGTTCACAAGAAGTCTGCAATATTGACTAAAGTCAAGAAAAATTTGAGTGTAATAGAATAGAAAAATCAAACCAACAACTCCGCCCACCCCCCATGCACACACAAATATTTGACAATTTCAAGTTTGCGGGTCACTGGGTAAGGGCATGAGACTGGCAGTTACCTGTTTCTGTTGCATTCTCTGCCCCTGAGCTGCCAAGTTTTCGATCCCAGAGTTTACACTGGCAGTGTAGTGTCTGCAGGGGCGGTTCTCAAAGCCACTGCCTGGCAGGTATTTAAAGAGCGGCCGGCCACGCAAGTCACACTAGGAAGCAGCAGCTGGGAGGGTCCGGGTGCAGTGCAGGTACGAGGTACGCACTCAGTGTTAGATCAGGACTGTTGGGGGTGAAGGGAATCCAGGGGCCCTGGCGGCTTTTCTTCCCAGCCAACTGTCACCCACAGCAGGCAGCGCCAGGAATTCGTGGTTATAGTTTTCGTCTTTGGTGGCCTTTGCGCGGAGGCTGAGCTGTGCCTGGAGGAAGCGTCTTTGTTTTGGCTGGGGGACCGGGACAGAACAGGTGCGCGGCCGCCAGGGGGCGCAGGGGGCGGGGGAGGCGCGGGCAAATTAAATTCGCCAGAACAAGATCTAGTCCGAGGAATTACAGAATCAGAACAGATCTGAGGAGGGGTGGGAAGCCGAGACGACTCGGGGAGTAAAGCCGCAGAGGGGCTCCATCCAGCCTCTCCGCAATCCCCTCCTCCCCAGGCAGCTTAAAGCCGGGGGGCGGAAGTGTGCAGGAGTGGGTAGCTGGGAGCGCGGCCCCTATTGCCTCAGTTTCCCACCCAGCGCCCGGGGCGTCCTCGCACCAATCTGTCCCCAGCTCGTGGGGACCAGGCACAAGACCCGATGACCCTTGGGCCAGGGTTTAGAGCGTCCCCGAGGACGTGCTGAGAGCCCGCCCCTCGCTGTCCACAGGTGAAGACGGTCCCTGCGCCGCACTCGCGCACGCAGCCAGGCCTGCGGTGCAGCCCCGGGCTGCGGGTTACGACAGGGAGTGCGGCTTTGGCCCCCTCACCCGCTGCGCCCGGCCTCCCACCGCCCACCCTCGGTGCCGCAGTTCCTCCTGTCGGGCGGCCTGGTCCGGGCAGAGGAGGCCGTACGCCACTCCCTCACCCGCCCTCCGCGCAGCTCCAGCGGCCCGCGCTTACCACCACCCCCTACCCCCGCCCTGGGAAAGCGTTCATTGCGACTGTTGGACTGGCCTTCTGGCGCCTACCCTGCCGGTTGGTCTCCCACACTGCGGAGCCCCGATGGCAAAGCTCCGTCCCCCTCTTCTTCCTTCAGGAAGGCCGCCCGGGTAGGCTCGGAGCGGGTTAGTGGGTAAGTGTTCACGGCCGGCCGTTTATGGTGTGAAAGTGTGGATGGACGCCGGGGAACCCCCAAAACTCCCGCCCGCCCATCCCCCCGCCCACCCCACGGAGGGTGAGGTTGTGGCTGTACTCCGACCATCCGGACCCTTCTTGTCCCCTGCCCCAGGCTGGTGGGAGCCCACCGGGCTTACCCGACCCCACCCTGCGCGCTGACCGGGTCACAGCCACGAGATCCCGGAGCACTGGGAGGCTCACCCGTGCGCCCCGCCCAGGAGGACACCTCTCCGCCCCTTCGAATTCCCCGCCCCCTGTCCCTGTCGGTCCCCACCCCGCCACCAGCTCTCAGGCACACACACGCAAACACTCTGACTGCCCTCAGTGTCAGTGGCCCGGCTCCCCTCCCGAGTCTGCTCCAGCTCCAGCTGTCGCGCGACCTCGGTACCTGTTGGTGAGGGTGCCCCAGACCCAGCGCCCCTGACCATCGGGGCCAGGGAAAGTCATGGTGTCCCTACCCGGGGCCCCTGTGACCAATCTGCTGCAGGTTTTGTTCCTGGGACTGAGTACCTTCGGTGAGTTAAACCCAGAACCAGGAGGGGACTTAAGGGGGAGATGGGGTAACCCCGACCCTGAGGGAGCTGATTTGGGGTCTGATGAGAAACTGGGTGGGACCGGATGCCACCTCTTACTCTACACGCGGACGCACACCCTCCTCTCCCCACCCAGGGCATCCCTGCCGGTGCTGACTCTCTCCACTCTTTCGGGACAGCTCCCGCTTCCCTTTGGGGTGTGTGGTGGGAGAGAGGGTAAGGGCATCGCCAGGGTAGGCTTCTGGGGTGAGCTCGGAACCATTCCTCACCCCCACTCTCTACCACCACCCAGCAGAGCCGGATGAGCTGAGCTTCTAGATGAGACGCTGGCTAAAGAGCTTAAAGACTTAGCTCCAGCTCTGTCCTGCCCTCACCCCCCCACACAGGCTGATGCACAGGAGCCCCCCACCCCTGGAATTCCCTGGTTTGACGGTTTGACACCCGCACTTCATTCTCTTCAGTGCTCCAGCCCAGATCCACACTCCGGCCCGCTCCTCCTGCTTCCTGTCCTGGGAATGAAGGGAGGTGCCCCAAAAGCATGACCGGGAGGTCGTTTGGGATACAGGAAATGGGGGAGGGCTTTGAATGCCTACGGGAGCAGAATTGTGACACCCCCCCAGAGGTCCACTACCCTCCTTGGTTCCCCGAGCTGAAGGGACCTAGAAAACAGAGAGCAGGGCCTCAAAGAAAGAGGGGGGCCACCTCCTAGGAGCAAGTGCTCAAGGCGTGTTGAAAGCTCCCAGGAGTGTCCAGGAGCTCAAGTTGGCCGGACAGAGGAGAAAACGACCCGGCAGAGACTGAGCCTGTACCGCGGCTCCCTCCCAGACTTGCTGGCCATTCCTCTTCAGGGGTGCCTGGTCTGGGGAGCGGGGCGGTGAAAGGTAGGTTAGGCGAGGGCAGCTTGAATTCATGTCTCTCAGTTGGAGGTCGACGTGGGACGAGTAAGGCCAGGAACAACATAGACTGAAATTCCGCACTGATAGGGACTAAGGTGGGGACCATCTAAGTCTTACCGGTGTCCCCTGTCGCCTGGTCCCTACCACAAGGATGTTGGGGCAGGAAGTATTAGGGGCCCCAGACAAAGTGGGGCTCAAGGGTGGCTCACCAGTCGCCAGAGCCTGGACAGCTTCCTGCCCCTTTAGGCTCGGTGGGCCTGTGCCAGAGTACCCCAACTTCTCAGCACCCCCAACTTCAACCTCAGCGCTTCCTTCCCTTCTGCACCCTGCCTCCAACTCCCCCATCCCCCTTCCTGCTGGGGGTCTCCAAAGCAGGGGCAAAAAATGCATGTTGGCTGCCTGGGTATCTCCCGTCCCTCTCCTGCGGCCCTCCCCCACAGCCCTTATTAAACTCTGAGCTTCAGTTTTTGCAGCGACAGCCAGGGCTCGAAGTCCCTACCTGGTGGCAGAGGGATTGCTGAGCTCCCCCAGCCATGTGAGGGTTAAGTGGCCCTGGGGACCTGGGCTCCGGGGCTGCCACTGGCTCTGCCCACTTGGGCCTCTGCAAGGCCCTTGCGCTGAGCTCCTCTGTGGCCCAGCTCTGCTGCCCCTGGGGCGTGAGAAGCCCGAGGGGGGAGTTTCTCAGAGAAAGAGGGAGACTAAAAATAGTAGCCCTGGGGAGCAGGCCCGTTTTCGTTCTCCTCTGGCCCTCGCTCCAGAGAACGCGACAGAGGGTCCCTTTCCTGGGCTGCTCACGTCTCCTTCACCCAAACCCAGCCACCCCCTCTTCTCCTGATGGCACTGTGGACCCTGGGATCGCAGAGGGAGCAAGAGGGGGGACTTCTGCCCCAGCAGACACCCAGAAACAAGGCAAAAGCCTCAGGCCTCTTCAGCTCCTGGTTTCTGGCGGGGGTGGGTGGGGGTGAGACAGGGAGCGTTTGTCCAGAAGTGTGTCCATTACTAACCATCTGAACCGCCCTCTTCCACTTGCAAAATGAAATTACACAGGGGGCCTGGGGGCAGCTGCTGAGGCGGGTAGTGTGGGGTTTCTGTAGGAACTGCCTGGCCTCCCTGAGCACTGCAGAAGGTGGGGGTGGGCGGGGGGTGTCCCGGGGGGCACTAGGTTCCTTGAGACGGTGGTTGTTTCTGCCTCTAGAGCCTCCGGCCCGGCCCCCCCAACCCCCCCCATCATTGTCTTCTAGCTTATCTCTGGGCACAAGTTTCCTGCCTGGTCTGCAGGGACACGCCAGGAAACGGGAAGGGGGGCGGCGTGCTGCTTCGCAGGCTAAGGAATAGGTGTGGGGCTCTGTAAAGACGCTGGGCGGGAAGCCATGGGGGTGGCGCATCCTGACCCGAGGCCTTCAATGGGACTGCCCGGAGGGCAGAGGGTCCGGACTGGCCTCCGTCCCTGCGGCTGGTCACCAGGCAGAGGTGGCAGTGCAGAGTGCCAATGCGTAGGGCGGCCAGCATCCTCAGCCCCAGCGGGATAGGAACCCGAGGGTAGTCCCCTCAATGGTTTAGGATTCGGCTGCCCCGTTGCCTCTCCAAAGGGCAAGAAGTGAGTGTTCCTGGACACCGAGGTACAACATCGATTCCATAGCCCCCCTGAAACCAGCACCCCAGTCCACCTGGACACTGGACACATAAAGCCACAGTCTCACACTTGATTGTTGGGGACCTTCATTCGTGATTCCCTGTGACCTCAGAGGACTCGCCCAAATCACCTGGACCCCCGGAGGGCCTGTGGGAACCTTCTGGGTCCCCACCAACCTCTTTCTTAGGGAGAGCACCTGTAGGGCTAAGAGATGGGGGGGTGTAGGGAGTGCGGTCATCCCTGCACTCCAGTCTCTGCTCCAGGGAGTTGAACAGAAGCCTTGGGTAACTGGTGACCGCCCAACCCCTCCACCCCTCTGTGGAGAATGCTTCGGTCCCCATCAGCCTTGTGGCTCCGGGCACCCCTGCCCCCGCCCTCCGGGAAACTGGAGGAGCAAGTGGGCTACCCAGAACGTAGATCCAAAGCATTAAACCTGTCCTTCCTCTTGGGTGTCGTTCCTCCTCGCTGGAAATCTGCCCCCTCTTTGGTGCTCTGAAATCTGCGCTTCCAGGTACAAGTAAGTGGCACATAAGTGCGTCACCCTCCCCACTGTAGCCCCAAAGGCTAGGGTGTCGGAGAATAAACACGTGCTGATGTCACGGACAGCAGGCCCTAGGGTCAGTCTCCCGGTGGTGTGGTGGTGTTCCAGCCTTCAGGAGTGGGACCCCGAGGCCACCCTCCTTGTCCGTCGTGTTGGCGGGACTTCCCGACCCTCTCGTCCTCCGCCCGGCCGTGTGCTCATGCCCCCTCGCTCTCCTCCCCAGCCCCCGGAGCCTGCGTCCAGGTCGAGCTGCACGTGCCTGAGGGCCTCTCCAGTCTGGAAGCAGTGGAGGGAGAGGATGTGGTGCTCCCGGCGTGGTACACATTTAAAGGGGAGAGGGCAGCGGCCAAGGTCAAGCCATGGGAGGTGCTCACCTTGATGTGGTTCTTGGAACAGAAAGGGAAGGATAAGAAACAGGTGAGGGAGGAAAGCAGCGCAGCTTTGACCCGTGGGGGCAGGGGCGGATGGAGCGAGCGGACGGCCAAGGGGGGCAGTGGGGAGGTGACGGGGCAGGGAAACGATGGGGACAAGAAAAGCTTCGGGAAAAGCAAGGTCCCCCTCACTGGTTTAATTTTGTTTGGATCTTGGAGGCGTCCCCAAAGAATTCTCTTTCCACCAACTTTCCCTAGAAATCTAGCACACACCACACAGAAAAGGGAGGAAGCATGGGCCTTGCCAGGGTGGTGGGAAAGCGAGGACTGTGGGTGGAGGTGGGAAGAATTAGGGCGGGTGTCCCCTATTCTCACCTCCTCAGGCAGTCATCGGCCACTGCGTCGGTACCCACCTTGAGAGGCAAGGCCACAATCCCCCATCTGGCCCTTTCCCTGACGTCACGCTGACAGTCGGTGACCGGTGCACCTGCAGCCACAGACACAGTTCTCAGTCCCTCTTACTTGCGTGGCTCCTCCCAAAGCCCCAGAAAGTGTCTTCGTGAGGTCATTTGATGAGTAAATCAGGGGTGTGTAGGAAAGAAACTCAGATTGCAGGGGTAGATCCAGGGTGCATAAGGCCCAAACTTGTGTATGTTTAGTGTGAGCAGGGGGCGTCTTCAAGACATAGAAGATGAAAGATCTCTTTAGATTTTGGATACACCCCTGCAATCTAAGTTCCTTTCACACGTAACTCCTATTTACATCTTGTCCTCACCCACATGACCACCTCTCCGAGCACCCCACGTGGGAGACGGAGAGACAGCACACAGGGGATCTTGAACTGTTATGGTGGAGAGGACGCGGGGGTGAGAGGGTGGCTAGGGAGACGGGGGAGGGGGGGGGGAGGGGGAGCTCCTACAGGTTACAGGAGACGGCGCGGGGGAGGGGTGTCTGAGGTCTGCAGTCTGGGGGCGGGGCCGGCGGAGCCTGGGGCACAGCGCAGGCTCCTAATAACGGGAGGTGTCACGCCCACACCAGGTGTTGTCGCACATCAGTGGGGCCACGTCGAGCGAAGCTGGAGTGTCCCTGGTCTACTCCATGCCCTCGCGGAATGTGTCCCTGCGGCTGCAGGGCCTCCAGGAGAAAGACTCCGGGTCCTACTTCTGCTCTGTGACTGTGCAGGACCGTCAGGGCAACAACAGGAGCCACAGCAGCAAGACTCTAGAGCTGGACGTTTTTGGTGAGTGGCGAGCGCACACTCCGCGACGGCTCGCCAGCCCCCAGGGGCCCAGGCGGGCACTCTCCAAAGGGCTGAATGTAAAGGTTGGAGGAGGGGCAATGGGGTGACAAAAGTCTGTTTGTGGAGAGGTTGGGGTGTGTGTGTATGGGGCGTCTGTTGGTCTCTTGGGCGTGAGTTTTTAACTTGTCTCATCTCCCCTCCCCCAGTTCCTCCAGCTCCCCCATCCTGCCATCTCCTGGGTGTGCCCCGTGTGGGCACCAACGTGACCCTGAGCTGCCAGACCCCAAGGAGTAAGCCCCTCGCCCTGTACCAGTGGGTGCGGCCACCCCCATCTACCCAGGTGTTCTACCCACCCACTTTAGGTGAGGGACTTGTGGGGACAAGTGAGACTGTGGCTGGGGCAGGGGGAAGAGGCAAGGCAGGCGCCAGAGGGCCTGGGCTGAAAAGGGAAGGCAGCGCTGCAAAGCACTGGGGAGCGGGAGGGGTGGGGGGGGCTGGAGAGAGAGGGCCCGCCAGGTGCAAGCCTGTGCTGGGTGCCTCACGTGCGGTGCTGCTCTGGTCCCGAAGAGGCTCTAGAGCTAGACGCCCGCCTGCACTCACACTCCAGCTGTGCTGCTCACCAGCTGTATGACGTGGTACCTCCACTCCCTCATTTTTGAAACGGTGTATCGGTAGCTCTAATCTGAAAACGCACCAGCTGCAAAAGTCATATTGGGGCTCTTGGAACTTCTCTTCAATTTTAATGAGATATAACTAATAGAACATTTTTAGTATGGAATATTAGATGCTTTTAGAAAAGTATTAATGATCAGGTATGGCAAAGGTGTCTATAGTAGGCAGTGTCCTTAATTTGTTCTTTATGCTGAAGTATTTGTTTTTAAATGTCTCAGAAAAAAAGGAAATAAGTAAAGCAAAATGTTAGCAACTATTGAATCTACATGGTAGGATTTTCATTTTGTGCCTTCCTTCTACTTTTCATTTGACCATTTTATAGTAATTTTTACATTTTTTTTACATAGTGCTTCCCTCATAGGTTTGTTTTGAAACTTTTATAAGTTAGTATGTAAAGAAGTTAGTCTTTGGTGGGCCATAAGCAGCCAATAAACTTGAACCGTTACGATTCTTATTTCATATAATTCCTTCAATACTATCCAGAGGCCCTATTGCCCCATTTTAGAAATGAAGAAATTGGGACCCAGGGAGAGCAACTAACTTGCTTAAAGTCACATGGCCTATTTTGGAGCCCAGGCCTCCTCATTCCTAGCTTAATATTCTTTCTCTCACAGTGCGCTGCCATTTAGAAACAAAAGTGAAACCCATGTTTTGAGTTTTCTGGGCATCGTTCTTCTCTAGCCTCCTTTCAGAGTCGGTCAGGACACTGAGCAGTGGGGATGGAGAGGGACCTGGAACCGGCAGTTCTGCAGCGGCGCGCAGAACCCGCAGAACCCAGCGTGCCCGTCGCCACACCCTTCCTCCCACCAGGGACCAGACAGCCGAAGGGGATATCACAGAGGAGTGGCGCGGTTTTCTTTTTTCCAATGGGAAGTAGGATCCCTGGCCTGATGGCTAAATTGTGTCCACAGATGCCGTCCGTGGGGCTTTAAGACTCAAAAACCTTACCACGTCTATGTCTGGAGTCTATACCTGCAGGGCCTCCAACAGTGTGGGCAGTGCCCAGTGCAATGTGACCCTGGAAGTAATCACAGGTCAGTGAGGGGTAAGTGGGGTTAAGGAGAAGACTGGTCAGTGGTCAGGGTGGGGCTGCAAGTGGGGTGGGGGGGTGGGATGGAGGCCTGTCTCCTGAAGTCTGTCACTGTGAGAGGGCAAGGAACTTGTCCTGGGCAAAGGGCTGTACAAAGGTGTGATCACTGGCCATTTCCCGCTTGCCAGGCACCTCTTCTGAACAGAAAAGGGAACATGTGAGCGGGGCCAGAGGGGTGGTTGGACTGGAGATGGTGGGGAACAGCCGGATGCCCCCTTAACGACGGGGTTTGTGCAGGGCCTGGGGCTGCGGTGGTTGCTGGCGCTGTGGTGGGCGCCCTGGTCGGACTGGGGCTGCTGGCCGCACTGGTCCTCTTGTGCCAACGCCAGGGGAAGGCCCTGGAGGAGCCAGCCAATGATATCAAGTAAGTGCCTAGTCCTGCCCAGGGCGACTCTCCCAGCTCCCCTTAGAGAGCTGGGAGTGCAGACACCTCGCCTCCAACGGAAGGGTGGGCGTCATCCCCGGGGGTGAACTTGAAGGGAGAGGAGACAGAGGTGGGGGGCGGGGAGACGGGGACAGGGGCACGCAGAAACCCTCAGTGCCCATTTCTGACCGCGCTGCTTCTTCAATGACTAGGGAGGATGCCGTCGCTCCTCGGACCCTGCCCTGGCCCAAGGGCTCAGACACCATCTCCAAGAATGGGACCCTTTCCTCAGTCACCTCATCACCAGCCCTCAGACCACCCCAAGGCCCTCGCAGGCCAGTTGCGGTGACCCCCACACCAAGCCCCGGCAGGGTCCCTACCTCTGCTCTGAGCCGCAAGGGTGCTGTCCCTGTGATGGTGCCTGCCCAGAACCAGGCCGGGTCTTTGGTGTGACGGCCCAGCCCGAGTGCTGGCAGAGCCCTCGAGTATCTCCCTTCCTAGAGAAACCACGATAGGGGTCGCCCTGGTGCAGAGGCCTGAGTCTCGGAGGGTGGCCACCTTCCAGATGGCCAGTCCTCTGCCCCCACCTTTCTTTACTCTGGAAAAACTGGGTCATGGTTAAGACTCAAACTTCCGGGAGGCAGGAGAAGAGGAAATGCACCTGGGATTAGGAAGAGCCTAAACTCCCTCCTGGGGCCTCCCTAACACTGCAGAGGAACGCTGCTGAGATTGGCTCCCCGCCCCCAAGGCCCTGGAGGCGCTGCCAATCAACGAGTGCCTCGCCCCCTGGATCTGGACCTCACCCTCTAACACTACCCTCCCAATCCAGCTCCCCAAATTCAAGTGACCTGTCCTGCTGACTTGGTTAGGTTTGGTCGGGGCAGCGGGTAGGGAAGATATTTGTTAAACTAACTTGAAATGCGTGTTTTGAAACGTGTGTTTTTGTTTGTATTTTACAAATTTCAATAAAGATACATCGTGTTTGTATGGAAAGTGAGAGTCACCTTTTCAAAGCTGGAATTCCCAGAAGTTGTTGAGGGTGATGCAGAGAGGACCCCTACCCAGGCCATGTCCCCAGGACGGCTTCTCCACGCGGCGTCCCCCCCGCCCCACCTTACTGGCTCAGGGTAGCTCTTCTAGAACCTTTAAAGGGGTCACTGCTGGCGGGTGGCATGGGAGAGGCACAGAGAGCTGGAGGCTGGGGGACGGAACAGCTCGGAGCAGCCGGGAGATGACATTGGTGCACTTTCTGCCGGAGCCCGGGCGCTCAGAGCTCGGGTGTGTGTGTGTGCGCGCGCGCGCTTGCTTGATCTCTGCTTCCCCTTCAGGGGCGGACAAGAGGACCCTGACCTGGGTTCCCCTCTTCCAGACAAACATACCTCCTCCGAGTCTCGGCCTTTGTGCCTGGAGAAAGCAGTGACTATGGGAGTGGGGAGGCGGCTGTAGTTGCCATGGAGACTCTTACCACAGCCCGTGGTGATAAAAGTGCTAGAGATAGGATCTCAGGGAGAACGGGAGGGGCTTGGAAGGAACCAGAATCTCTGAAGGGGTCAGAAAGGGTCTTCAGTGTTAGGACCCAACGTGGTGATGTCACTTGGCAGCTCACAGGTTGTCAGACCGCCGACCTCTGCCTCCGGGCTCTGGTGCTGCAGTTCGGACCCTTCCCTTCAGGCGCCCAGTCCCAGCCCTGTCCTTTCCCCAGGGCCCGACAGCTTCACAAATCTCGGGGAGGATTAGGGCTAAAATGGTTCCAGAACTGGGCCTGGAGAAGGAGAGGCGTTGCCTTACTCAAGGGCATGGGCCTCTCCCCTTGTTTGCGCTGAGATAGCCAGTCTCAACCCCTGCCCAACCCCAGGAGGCTGCCCTGTGGGCGCCGCCTCCCTCTCCTGGACCCGGACACTAGACCGAAGACCGGAGGACCCGGCCATGGCCTGGCTGCCCGGCCCTATGCTGTGCGGGGCGCTGCTGGGCTTGGTCTGCCTGACGGGTGAGGAGGGGGCCAAGGCCGGGCCGCGGCGGGTGCTGCGCCAGGCCAGGGAGGGAGCACCCTGGGCTGGCAGGGCCAGGACAGGGCGCGCAAGCCTGCCGGCGAGCTGGGCCTCTCCGGAAGGGCTGGACCAGCGCAGAACCATTCTTTTCCTCTCCCTGACAAACGCACCCTCATACCTGACCAGTCTCGTCCTTTTACCCACAAAACTCGGCCCAGAGGTGTGCTCCTCCTTCCTGGAACTTCAGGTTTTGGAGAAGGGAGCGGTGAGCGGGGGAGCCCTTAGCCTCTTTGCGGAACACAGGTGGGCCGGGCTCCACACTGCCGGGGGTTCGGAGCCCGGCCAACGACCCCACTCCCCTCGGCCCCTGCCTGGCCGTCTGAGCGCCCCTTCCTGTGCACCCTCAGCCCCCAGCCTGTCGGTGGAGGTGCATGTGCCCGCGGAGCCCCTGAGCGCGCCGGTGGGCAAGACCGCCGAGCTGACCTGCAGCTACAGCACGTCGGTGACGGACAGCTTCGCCCTGGAGTGGAGCTTTGTGCAGCCTGGGAAGCCCGTCTCTGAGTCCCTTCCCGTGAGCGAGAGTGGGGGGCCTCTGGCCTGTGGCCTGTAGACTCGGAGAGGCAGGAACAGGGGGCCCACTCGGAATGAGGGCAGGGAAGGTGTGCTGGGAGGTCAGCATGCTTGGGTGGAAAAAATAAGTGGACTCGCCCTGGCCATTGTGGCTTAGTTGGTCAGAGCATGGCCCCCAGCCCCGGAAGGGCACCCGTTGGATTCCGGTCCGGGCACATACCTGGGCTGCAGGTTCAGTCCTGGGTCAGGGTGTGTGCAGGAGGCATCCCATCAGTATTTCTCTCTCACATCTCTCTGTCTCTGTCTCTGTCTCCCCTTCCTCTCTTTCTAAAAATCAGTGAGCATGTCCTCAAATGAGAATTTTAAACAACAAAGTGGACTCTTTCTAGATCTTCTGAGGACACGATGGTATAATCCCAGAGCACACATGGGGCGGGGCTCCCATACGCAGCCCCCTGTTGGAGCCGTCCGGGCTTCAGCGAATTAACAGTACTGACTGACGCTCAGCTGTCGTGATTGAAAGAACGATAAAATGCTGCCCCTCCCAGAAATATCTGTATTTCCCCCCAAAGTGAGAGCCATACACAGCTGTAAGCAATGGATATATAGTTTATTTTGCACTTGGGCAGGGCTGGCATTGGGGGAGATAGGGTTCCATGGTTCTAGCTGCAGAGTATCAGCTGCTCAGGCTGGTGTAAGCGAGGGCCCTTTGAGAAAGGACCATAGAGCTGATGCCAGGCAGGAAAGGCGTGTAGGTGAGTCTCCTGCTTCTCCCTAGATCCTGTACTTCACCAATGGACACCTGTATCCAACCGGTTCTAAGGCAAAGCGGGCCAGCCTGCTTCAGAACCCCCCCACGGGAGGAGTGGCCACCTTGAAACTGACTGACGTGAGCCCCTCAGATACTGGGACCTACCTCTGCCACGTTAACAACCCGCCAGATTTCTACACCAACGGGATGGGGCTGATCAACCTCACTGTGCTGGGTAAGGCAGTCCGGGTGCCCACACACCCTGGATTCCAGCCCGAGCACAGAGCTGCACTGCCCCCCCCCCCAAGGGAAAGTACCTCTTCCCTAAAGCCTTCTAACCTAGCCAGCCGGCGATCCACCTGCTCCACCCTCCACAGAGTGCCCCTGTCCCGGCCCTAGAAACAAAGGTCTCACAGATAGGGCCTGAGTCCTGCCCCCCACAGCTCCATCTTTGGGGAAACTTCCCCTCTATACCTCAGATTCCGTCCCTCGCCAGGCCAGTGGCAGAGAAGTGGGACGATTATTCAAGGAACAAGGGCCCCCACCACACTAAGCACCAATTTTATGTTCAGCGCTCCTATCTCAGCCCAAACTAGAGCCTGCTTGGGGAGGGGCAGACAGAAGAAGAAACTACCAAAGAGTCTGGGGATGTTTCGAGGGAAAGAAAAGACTTAGGAGCCGGTGAATGGCAGCTGTCCTCACAAATCTGACCGACTGCCCTGTGGGGGACGGAGTTTTCACTTCTCCTGTGGACCCAGAAGGCAGGAATTTGGGCCAGTGGGTGGGTATTATATTAACACAGATTGGGCTCAATATGAGAATCTTGTTCTAACAATCAGAATTTCCAACGGTGCTCACCATTTCCTGGGGATGCCGTGGAACGTGGATGAAAGTGGGTGACTGTTTGGTGGGGTATTGACTCAGGAAATCTAGCACTTAACGGGGGTGGGGTTACAAGATCACGGAGGTTCTTCTGCGGTTTTTTGCAGTGCCCCCCAGCAGCCCCTCGTGCAGTCAGACCGGTCAGATCTCTGTGGGGGGATCTGCTGTACTGAGGTGCAGCTCTTCTGAAGGAGCCCCCAGGCCAGTGTACAACTGGGTCCGCCTCGGATCTTCTCCTACACCTTCTCCTGGCAGCGTGGTGCAAGGTGAGAGCCAGGGCATCAGGGAAGGGGGTCTCAGGACCTGGGCCAATCAGGTTTCTAAACTCCACGCACCCATGCCTATGGGTAGGAGACAAACGCTATACCTTCTCCCTGTGTCTTTCCTGGTTCCTGTGTTGGTCCCTCCTGCCTGTCTCCCTGCACAGTCTGTGACTGCGTGACCCTGGAAGCATCTCTCGAGTTATATGCACTCCCATTGTCCTGGGAGAGAGTAGAAGGCAGGGGCATTCTGTGGTTCCTATTTGTCTGTTTTGGAGGGGTTTCTTTTAGGTTGCTTAAAGGTCATGAATCATTTCCAAACTTCCTAGAAGGGACACTGAGGCAGAATAGCATGGACTGTCTTGGATCACTTAGCCACTTCTCTGGAGGAACCATATACCTGGCTGAGAGCTTTGGCTTCCCAGCCTCCTCATGCTGGCCCCAGTCCCCGTCTCTCCTCCCAGCCCCAGCCCCAGCCAGGCCTTTATCAGTCCAGAGAGCCCCCAGGTCACCTCCTGGCATGTGCTCTGCCTTCTAAAGGGAAGGTAAGCAGCTTAGAAAAACACTTGGTCAGCTTATAAGTATCCCAGAGGATACAGTTTCTAGCGATGAAGGCCTTCCCACCGCCCCCCCCCCCCGACCAGGAACATGATGTCAGCCTGGAAGCACCTTACCCCAATTTCCATGGCCAGTTTCCCAACCCTTCATGTATGTGCAGCCCCCCCTCCCACCTGCAAAGGCAGCTGTGTGCAGTGGAAAGAGCACAGATTTGCAGTCGCTCTGGCACTTCCTCTCTGGGGCACCCCAGACAATTACTTTCCTTCTCCAAGCCAGTGTTCCCACCAATAAAACGAGGTCAGTCCCTTCCTGACAGGATGGTTATAGTGATGAAATGCACCATGCCTTCATCATAGCGGGCACCCGCCATGGGCAGAATGAGTGCAGGAACCTTCCTCTCTCCCCTCCAGATGAGGTGTCTGGCCAGCTCATTCTCAGCAACCTCTCCCTGGCCTCCTCGGGCACCTACCGCTGTGTGGCCACCAACCAGATGGGCAGCGCCGCCTGTGAACTGAGCTTCTCTGTGACTGGTAGGGATGCGGGGCACTGGCCAGGCTGGCAGGCCTGGATGGCACAGGCTGCATGGAGTTGTCTGAGGAGGGGCCCGGGAGGGTCTGCAGCTCTGAGGACTCTGTGTATCCTTAGACCCTTCCCAAGGCCGCGTGGCTGGGGCTCTGATCGGGGTGCTCCTGGGTGTGCTGTTCCTGTCCATTGCTGTGTTCTGCCTAATAAGATTCCAGAAAGAGAGGAGGAAGAGGCCTAAGGAGACCTACAGGGGTAGTGACCTCCGGTGAGCTGAAGGGTGAGGGGTAGTGCAGAAAGGGAGGAAGGGGCTAGGATGATGTCAGCCTCCAAACTCTGACATCTTTGGGGTGTCTGAGGGTAAGGGGTGCTGCTCAGCCCTGGGATTTGGCGGTGTAGCCTGTGTATTGAGTGTGTGAGCAAAGCGTATAGGTGGCAGGGTTGGCTCATAAGCTACCATCA